GATAATTTTTTTTTTTTTTTAAAGAACTGAACATAACAGAGGTGTTTATGAAAACTTGCAAGATACAACATCCTTCGCCTTGAAAATAGAAGTATTCAGTGAATCCACAGTAAGTTTACAAGCACTTTTCTACAGTTTGTGTGATTACTGCAAATTCTTAAATCAATCAAAAGAGAAATACAGAAAGTCCTTCATGACAACGTCCATGACAGCACCGTAAAAGCAACGTAAATAACAAATTGGAAAAAGAAAGCAACGGAATACACAATTTGAATCTGTGCCAAGACCCCTGGCCATGACTGCATGCACACCGACAATCTCTGGACAAAAGCCTTAAATCTTATTTCCTTTTCACTGAGTTAAAAAAATAAAATGTGGCTAGAAAGTGAGTAAAACCAAGCAAAATACTTTAAAAAAATAGCGCAGCAGTAATTCGTGAAAAATTACACAAGGGCGCGGTGTAGTAGAGACGAAGAGAGTGGTTTTGTCGCATCCTCCGAAACCATCGCTATCGCACGCGCACACACACACACACACACACACACACACACACACACACAAACACACACACACACACACAAACACACACACACACACACACACACACCTGGTGTGTGTGCCCCAGCAGGTTAGCATACTGTAATTTGGCACATCTATTCACCATTTCCAAAATTAACTTTGTCTTCAGCGGCAGGAAAGCCCACTCAGGTCTTCTTTTAACCGAGCCTTGACTTAAATGATGTCACTTCCAAAACACAAACACTTAGTTCAGTGTGGAGAAAGCTTCTCTGTGCAGGAATTTCCCTACTAAGTGGCCTATTTTTCCCGCCGATGGTGATTCTTGTCATTGCAAGTTTGGGCTAATATGTCTTGAGCTTTCTGATGGCACAAGAAGTTTGCCCCTCGATCCCTCTCTTGTTGCAGTTCTTCCTCATCGCCCGACAGATGTAAAGATAAACAGTATAGCCTCTTTGCAGGCATACGCACCTTCCAAAAAAAACATCCACAGAGGCGATGGAGTCCACCGAGCCAATAGTCGGTGACATCTGCTCTGCTGCTGCAGCATATGGGAGAAGTAAATGGCAAAAACAAGTTGCCCTCCCATGACATTTGCTTCCCTTTGATAGTTCACTCACAGCTCTACCACTCAATTTGAGCCCATTGCCCGTGTATGTGTGCGCGTGTGTGAGGAAAGTGACCTCCCAGTGATGCAGACAGATCAGAAGCGGGGCAGCATAATTTGAAAAAGTAACTTAAAGGGCTAGCCCTAGTTCACCGACCGTTAGCTCCATGGATTTGTGCTTCACAAATTCAACAATTTTGTCTTTATGCACTACTACGATGAATTTGGTACATTTTAAGAGTTGACGTTCATCTTTACGAGGTTTCAGTCTTTCACCAAAATATCAGTTAGCATGCCTCTTGAGCATGTGCTAAGCATTTGCGAGGCTAAGGTAGTAGTAATTGGAGTGGCTTTTGTATATACGACTGAACAACCTTTGTTAAGGTGTCACCATTTGGTAGAAACAAACGTGGGGTTACCCGAAAATGAGGATTTCATTGTCTCAGGAGCGCATGTAGAGTTTCTGGGTCCAACTGGAAAACCGGTAACATACTAAACCAAAAGTCTTTGATTGCCAAGGTTAAAGGGTGTTTTCCGCACTTTTGACAGGCTAAACCTGCGGCAATTCACGGTGTGATAAACTTACCGTGGTTGAACGTTGCTTTTGAAATCCATTCTATCCTTAAGGATTTGTTGTCATTCATTTGGATGACTGATTTTTGACGAAGATTTGACTTGTTCTTCAGTACAGTCATACCTCGGTTTTCGACCATAATCCGTTCCAGAAGGCTGTTCGAAAACCGATTTGTTCGAAACTATTTTATTAGCCCATGATTTGGGGCTAATACCCTATGCAAAAATAAGAAAAAAAGTCAGATTTGCGTAAATCACCACAAACACGTCTGCTCACAATGAACGTTACATGAGGAAGCGTCACTTCCTCGTGTAAGGAAGCCAAGAGGAGTCGAGTGGCGTATTCAGGTTTGCTTAGTTTGGTTGAAAACCGATTTTCGGTCGTTAATCCGAGGCGTAAAAATCTCAAATTTTCTGGTCGAAAACCGATTTGGTCGGGAACAGAGACATTCGAAAACCGAATTATGACTGTAGAGCATTTCATTCATTCATTTTTAAAGTTCAACATTATTTGGACAAAGCGACACAAATGTACATTCATACCACATATTGTGTCAAACATGATGGAATCAGGCAGCGTTCTAGCACGAACTCACATATTCACAATGTGCTTTCCAGAAATAAGATGGCTTGTGAATTGTATTGTGCTACACTCTCAAGCAAGTGAAGGTGGTTGAGATGAAAGAAACGGGCTCCAGACGTTTTCGGCGCCAAAGGGTGGTTGTATTTACAATGAATACGTTTACATGCAGTAAATTATTCAGGTCAAGGTCATAACTCTGGCAACTGAAATATTTGGAGATAACCCGTTTACATGCTTGAGTGGAGAGAGTTCGTTCGGCATTTGAATAGCCTGATTTCAACGGTAACGCACAGACATCGTGACGTGCATAGACTTCATTTCCGCTTGTTACTTTCTGCTGTCAATAAAACACATTACATTCTTGTCGCTCACCACAGGAATAAAACAGACAATTTCCTCCTCGCTCCAAAAATGAGCTGCATCTGAATTTCGCCATGACTGTTTACCTCGACTTGTCTATTTCCGGCGCATTGCACACTAGACATACGGGCTTATATACAAGTCTATGTGTGTCTGTGTACACACGGTGTCATACAACTACTTCCTGTACGACCAAGTGCGTGTTTACTTGGCCTTTAAAAACCTGCATGCTGCCACTCTTCCGTTTTTTTTTTTTTTTTTAAACATAGTCAACAATGTTACCTTTGTCCAAATGCTTTACAGCAGTGGTGGGCACATCAATCCGTCAGTCATCATGCCGTATTTTGGGCCAGCTCAGTTTGTTCGCCTGTCATGGATGACAGCCAATTGGTGTCGCAACGAGTGTCGTACTTCCCGGTACAGTGTCACACGCAGGTGCTGCAGAAGCAGCAAAATAAAGAACATGAAAAAAACCCAGAAACAAAACATTATTTTATCACAGACGTATACAGTATATGAATAAACCGACAGTGCCGCTTATTTGCTAGCAGCCATCTTACATTGCCACTCTGTGTGAAGTGCTTCATCTTTCATTATTCTCTAATAAGGTATACCTCTGAGTGCTACTCGAAGATTCATCTGCATCATGTTGTCAGAACCATCAAATATGAAATGAAAGCGAAGACCATCTGGAAAAAAAAATGCGGCAAAATGTAAACCTAAAACTCTGTGTCACAACTCACATCCTATGCTCTGAATAGGCGATGCAAACAATGACGCATGTTGTTGGAGAATCTCTCATTGCTGCATGGATCCATCATCCTAGAATAAAACATGCACTGATAAGTAATATAGGCAACATAGTATGGCTGACCTCTGGCTTCAGCTGCATAGGGCCTATTGATAAAGAGTAATTCATACATACGTCCGTATGTTATATACCTTCCAATCTGACAAACCGCAGTGATGCTGTACCATATTGTTTATTTCACCAATCACCACACCGTGTGTGTGCATGTCTATGTGTTGTTTTTATTTTATTTTATTTATTTATTTTTCATTTGGCTACATGTCTGCTGCTGACATATTAAGTATGTGTTCGATGCCGACGTGGGACGGAGAAGGCAGACGAGGGCTGGCCTGAAATCATGAGTCATGCCGACTGGCGGGTCGATGCGCCCACCACAAAGGGAGGTACGCTGCATTAAAAAAAAAATACAAAACAACCCCCTTCCCCCAACCTTTCTCTGATCTTTTATCAAACCTGAAAGTCTACACTTCAGTCTTGTTTTGTTTCAAATCCTTAATGACTCTGTGAAAATTAAATATATCTGAATAAATAAACCTGTCCTGGTAAAATGTGCTAACAAAAGAAAAGAAAAAGAGAAAAACGGTTGTATGATGACTAAAACAAACTCATCTTGCATTTCAATCAGTGTTGCTATCACTTGGCTTACGGCAGTGACCTCAGTGGCTACAAGCTGTAACTGCACATAAATGTTGGCCCCCGGTAGCATATCCACTGACTTGAATATTTTTTTGCTAAACCACTTTAGCGAAATTTACACAATGTGCAATCTGATGTCAAGTTGGAAATGCCGCTGGCGAACTGCGAAAACGCATCATTAAAGCATTACTGTTAATAATGTTACAGCAGGTAGACTCCATCTGTGTATTTTTTCCTCTGAGATTTTTCAAGGAGGTGTGACCCATATAAGGCAGGATAAGAATAAAACAAGATGACTCATACAGATCAACCCATAAGCATCTCCCCTCACATAACCCCTTCTCTCTTTCTGCAACGAGCAGGTTTTGTGATGATCTGACCAGATTGGGATTTTCGCTTGGCTGCTCTCCAACCACGGAGTCAAGATTTTAAAAGAATAATGTTAAGGTATCACAAAAGACTGATCTCGTTTCAAGCAGTCATATCGTGCTAGTGTTCCTTTAGAAACTTTGGGAGGTAATTTGCGCCTTGCTATGAGGTTTAATGGAAATTGTCGGTTTTAATGACAGAATCAATAACTCCAGTTTTCTCCCAGAGAATAACGACAAATTAAAAGATGCAGTCGGCAATCGCCGCACAATCTCCCATTGCTGCAGCACTACTTTGCATGCATTACAGTAAAATGTAGAGTTATGCACACAGGCCCCAAGCTGTTAGGCCCTTTCTCAAAGAGGGAGAAAGAGAAGGAGCAGCGAGGTAAGGAGAAGGAGATGGGAAGAGAGGATGAGGGAGGTACAGCGATGATGTCCCGAGGCTTAGGCTGGCTCTTGCTGTGAGAATATTTTTCTTTTTACTCATTCAAGTGGAAATTAGAGCGAGTCCTAAAAAAAGAGAGGCTCTAAATGACGTGAAACTTTCTATTCCTTTTTTGACTTTTTTTAATTTGGTACATGGCACAATCAGCATGTATGCATCTGGTATACATAAATAAATATTAAATATTTCATCCATAAATATACATATAGAGCTCTTACAAAGATGTCTTGAAGTGTTGTTGGCAAGGGATGCTCATTTATTTGTGTTGGTGCTGTTACGTATTTTCTTTTTTTTTTGTAAGTGGGAATGATATCTCCATAGAAGCCCTATACATATATGTATGTATGCCCATATTTATATATATGTATATTGAAAGAAATACAAGTGTGCACTGATGTAGGTTCTCTCAGTGCAAACAGGCCATTGACTGCTGCTGTCGAAGTGGAAGTCTAACAAAGTCCACACACCAGTTAGTTCAGTTGTTTCTTGACGCTGTCTTTTTCTCTTACATGTAAAATAATAAGGTTTATTTTCATCATCTTTAAGCAAAATTAGACATAGAACTTGGAACAAAAATAACCCCCCAAAAAAGTGCTATTTTGCAAAGACGACACCAAGAGACGCAGCAGAAACACGACTGGCGGTGAACCAAAATCAACAACATGGAAATGCATTTTGCATTGAACCCGCCCAGCCCCCATCCCCACCCCCCAAAAAAAATAAAATAAAATGAAAGCACACGGTATAGCCTACTCAAATTTAAAAAATAAATGTGGACGCACACGACCAACACGACCACACATGTTCACTCACTCGCCTCTCATGTTCCACGCGGTACACGAGCAGCATGTGTACGTGCACACTTGGTTGAGATCGGATCATATAGCTTAACAGGTAAACTGGCTGTAAAAGATGCACTTTCTTAACAAAAACAATCACAGGAACAAAGCATGTGTCTCCAAGCCAGAGCTGTCCATGGCAAACCCTTTGACGCAAACTAATGCACAATGAAAGATGAAACCATTCATGTTGTGCTGCAAACAGGAGCAAAAATCAACCAAAAAGTTGCCCCAAACGGGATTTAAAATCTCTACATCTGCATACGCGCTAATTTCTAATCCTGGTATCAGTCTTTCTGTCACTCTCCTCTCAGTATATTGTCTATTAGAACAGATATGATGACACCCCGCCCCCACCCCCTCCCAAAAAAAAAAAGAGTTTTGTAAGGCATTGAAATCAAAAGAAAGAAGCAATTAAAAACATGATGTGAGTTTCGACATCGAGGCCATTGTTCTTCATGTGTCTCCCCCAGGAGGAAGGAGGATTGGGAAATTAAAAAGCACTTTAGTTTGTTTTTGTTAGGAACGCAAGAAAAAAAGAAAGTCTTCTTTGTCCGCTTAAAAGGCTTTTCAAATGATGATTTAAAAAAAAAAAAAAAAAAAAAGGACACAACACAAAAAAACAGCCCCTCCCCTGATGAGGAGAAGGTAAGCAGTTTGATTTTGGCAGCTCTGCACAACTTGACATCCATAGAGAGCTCTGAAGCGACGCTCCTCGTAGTAAAAGTCTGCTTAAATCTCTTCACGTTTTAATCTGCCCTTGTCTCCCCCCACCCCTCTCTGTAGTATTTATAAAACACAATCCTCTTCTCTGTTTTGTTGAATCCTTTACTCATCCTCCGTCGCCATCGCTGGCCGTCGACCCCCTCGTCTGGTCTCCTTAAAGCTATACGCGCGTGGTGGAGTGGGAATGCGGCAGGCCGGTGGAGTTGAATCCCGTCGTGAAGGTGTTGTAAGGGTGCAGGTTGGGCATGCCCACCAGAGAATTGGGGATCATGGTAATGGTGTTGGGCGTCATGAGGGGAATGTCGTCCGGAGAGCGCCGCAGGGTGAGCGTGTAATCGGGCAGCGAGGCCAAGCGCAGCGCCCCCTCGTTGCTGTTCCCCGCCTCGCACTCGTGGTGCGTCTGGTTCATCTGCAGCGACATGATCTCCTCCTCGGGCGCGTGGTGCCCGATGTCGTTAGAGGTGGTTTGGCGCTGCGGGCTGGGCTGGCCGTGGCTGGACTCCTGCCGCCGCTTGTCCTTGCGATAGTAGAGGGCGGCGAACGCCAGTACGTTGAGGAAGAGCAGCGAGGCCCCCACCGCGATGGTGACGCTGAGCTCCGTGGAGTAATCCCGAGGGTTCTCCACCACGAGAGGACCAGACTCCTTGTCGTCGCCCCAGGAGTCCTTGTCTTCGCTGTTGTAGGCCGGCGACATGGGGGGCCGCTTGGTGTTGAAGGGCCACGTGGTCTTACCGTTGGGCCGCTTGGTGGACAGGGTGTTCTGCGTGGTATCTGGCGGGGGCACTTTGGTGGTGGTGGAGGTGTAGTGGAACATGTCGTGAAGATTGTACAGATGCGGCACCAGGTGCTTCCAGAAGGCCACTTTGGTGGCCCGGTAGTGGTCGCGCACACGCGGCTTGAGGCCGATGTGAAGGTAAAGCTGGTCCTGGGGGTTGTACTTGGACCACGCCACCTCCTCGAAGCGGTTGGCCTTGGTGTGGATGAACTTCGTGTCCTGGGGAACTGGTTTGTTGGGATCCCTGAGGAGAAGACACAGATGCAAAAGGATGTTAGGCAAGAGTTTCGACATGCTCATCTGATTTAGCCTTTGGTCACTCTTGTACTTTGGCCTGGACCAAATTACGACATGTCGTGTGCATTTGCTCCGCAGTCCCGAGTGTTCACAATGGCATTTTCCATCGGAGCAAAAGTTGCCCAGTACAAGAGAATATGCGCTGTGAGGCAGTTTTGGGGACTTGGCGTACTGAAACAGACATCTCACACACCGCAACGCAATGAACTGGTTGCACCTCTTTCAACGTGCAACCACTCACAGCAGAAAATGTCGGGAATTGTTCCCCTTGTTGTGAAGTGTTTTCCATTCCATCATTTTACATTGATGTGCTAGAAGTGTGTTGTTTCAAGTAAATATTTAGACTTTTATACTGTTTTAGTATTGCATAGTGATCGACACTATGTGCGTTCCAACTTAGGTACAAAGCTGTCAGTGTCGTTGGTATGGAATTTGGTCGTCTATCCTTGTCTGTTCATCGATTCGCGTTTCCCCAGCGCTCAATGTTGTCACTAGATGTTGTCTGTGGTCCGTACAGTGTTCACGTCAATGAGACCATCAGGTGCTCAACAGTTTGATAGTTTCTGTAATTAATACACCATAATTCATCACTTTTCAAATGTAGTGTTCCAAAAAAAAAAAACTAAAACAAGAAGACTGAAGATTTGTTTTAGTGTTTGAATATTGGAAAGAAAGCATCGCAGTGGCCTTTCAATGTGCTCATATTCTCCTTGTGGGTTTTCTCCAGGTACTCTGGCTTCCTTCCACATTCGAAACTCAGACATGTGAGCTAAATTGGGGACTCCTAATTGTTCAGAAGTGTGAATGTGAGTGGGAACGGTTGTTGGTCTTCATGTGCTATTTTGAATTTGCGTATAAAAAGGTCATTCGTTTTAAAATCCTCATTCCTGTTCAAATCAGTGATAGTAAACAATGAAGGAAAAAAAAATCTGCATTATAGCAATCTATGACAGTGGACGGTCACTGAAATCAAGTCCAACGTAGCCCATAACCACAAGACACCCCAAAGAAAACCCATCAGCTTGTTGTTTGGGTTTGAGAGAGATTCAGTTGATCGATCATATTTAGGAAGGCTCACGGCAGAACACACTTGCGTTTTTAAGTGAACTCCACTGGAAACAGAACTGCACCAACTTGCAGCAGTTCACTCTGCCTGCTCCCTCGTCTCCCTTCCCAGATGTTGCTCTTAATTCAGTTCGGATGCAGTCTGCGCACACAAACCAGGGCAGGGGCCTTTTTAAGTAAACACACATATGAATAAGTCAGCAGGCTTTAGGGCTCACGTCAGGAGGCATCTTGTTGTTGATAATCCCAACACTGGTGGAGCCCTTCTGCTAATTGCTTCGGGAAGGCAGCGCAGTGTGTATTGGCATCTTGTGAACTGATGTAAAGAGGACCATATTAATTAACATTTAGACACTGAGTGGGAACTGCTCAACCCACTGTGGGTGCGTACGTGCGTGCATGTATCAGGAAAAGATCAAAAGACAGTCAGGCATCTTTTTTGATGCAGTACTGCGTTTGTGCCAATGAGTTCACCATTTCCCTTTTTGACATCCTGACCATGTCCTTTTCAATGAGGAGTGAAGCGTCCGATTTATTGAACCAATTATTATAAAGCAATCTCCGGCAATCTAACAAGTCTATTTCTGTAATGTGTCGCGAGTGGAAGCTGCGGAGGCACCACTACAGCTTTATTTAGTACGCAAAGAATAGACCTGCAAAAGAATGCCGCAGCCTTGAAAACACAATAATCACTCGAGTCCGAGGGGTTGAAAGGAAGCAAGGAGGCGCTTGACATTTCTTCAAATGTCATGAAATATCCCTTTGCGGGTTTGATTGCCAAGTCATTTGCACGCCAAGTTCAAGTTTATTCTGGGATTTCGGGATGCGCCGGTCACAGTGTATTTTTGGCACCGGTCCTTGTGTTTGAAAACGTTTGTACAAGAGAATTAAAAGCCACACCAGAAGCATTCAACCTACAGTTCATTTTTCTGCTGTCAATTTTTCTTTTTCGGGTCAGTGCTTCTGGGAGAGGTGAATAGAAAGAAAGGGAGAGAGAGGAAGGGAGACTGAGTGGTAAAACAAATTGAGATGGCGAAAGCTGAATCCCTGGACCTGGGCCCGTGTCAGCAGAGCAGCCTGTAAATAACCACTTTTATTACGCCCGTAATGATCCCCAATGAATATTGACAGGCAGACTATGATGACTTTGTAGCTGAATATCAGTAATTAAGTTTCAAAGGAGCGGCTGGTGGAGGTAAGGTCATATTGATCTCCCTGTGCACAACATGCCGGAGAACAGGACATCAATCGGAGACGTGCTTGTCTGCAGCCTGCCAGCCTCGCGCATGCACATGCGCACGCGCTCGCATGCAAATCTACCCCGCCCATGGACAAACACGCACATGACAACAATGGGGGGCAGTCAGAGCAATCTCAGTTAATGGGAATTCCGGGCAGTTCCATATGCGCGACGAAAGCTCTCATTTTGGCTGGGTCAATTTGGCGAATTGTGATCACAAAAAGATCTAAAAGGTACTTGGCTAAATCTCACAAAGCAATCTGTGCACGTAGGCAGCAGGTTTTTAGATAGAGTGCGAGATGTCGTTTGGATAAAAAGGAATGCATTTTAGCAACACAAAGAAATTGATATGGGGTCGATGGATAAATTGACTTGAGAAAACAACTAGTTGACCGATCAAACCTACAAAATGCTTGGCCAATTCCTGCCAGAGAAAATAGCTGCAATTTGAACACGGATAAACGACTTGCTGACTGTGTGGACAAACAACCCGCAGAAGTGAGAAAGAATGACTGCTAATCAGTGAACGCAACACTTGACCTTGACTTGGAGTGGTAAAACTAATGGCCTTGTCAAACTACACGACATTTTTGTCCTTCAGAAAAGGCAAAAAGGAAGTATGGACCCATTTCTTGATAGTGAGGAGAGGGTAGAACTCAACTCAACTGTATTTATAAAGCACTTTCAAACAGCCATTGCTGCATACAAAGTGCTGTACATGGAGCAACTAACATATATACAACAATATAGCAATAATCAGTAACAAAGATGGTAGTAGGCACCAAACAGTATAACTAAGATCATGATTTGGGTCACGCTGAGTCAAATGCCAAAGAATACAAGTGAGTTTTGAGGCGGGTTTTAAAGATGGGCGGCGAGGAGGCTTCCCGAATGCTCAGTGGGAGGTCATTCCAGAGAGAGGGACCAGCAACGAAAAAGGCTCGATCCCCTCTCAGCCTCCGTTTAGTTCTTGGTACTTCTAATAATGTCTGGTCCGCAGACCTGAGGCGCCGGGCAGGTGTGTAGGGGCGGATGAGCTCAGAGAGGTAAGGTGGAGCAAGGCTATTTAAAGATTTGAAAACAAATAATAGGATCCTGAAAAGAACTCTAAAATGTTTCGGGAGCCAGTAAAGGGATGCCAGAATAGGAGTTATGTGCTCCCTCTTAAGAGTAGCAGTTAAGAGGCGAGCAGCAGCATTCTGGACCAGCTGGAGACGCTTAATGGAGGATTGGCTGACTCCAAAGTAAAGTGCATTGCAGTAATCGAGCCGGGATGTGACGAAGGCGAGGGCAGTATGGACTTACTATATACTTTCCAATCTTTCCCCTTTTGTTCAAGTGACTTTTTAAATAATGCACACACCACATTACGATTGTGCGCATCAAGTCAGGTCTCTTGCCATAGGTTTTTAATATGGCAGCCTCCATCATTTTTATTCCTGTTGCCAACAGCACAGGTAATCTGTTTGAGACAGGCATCATGCAGTTTAATCTTGTCTATTTGCAATCCATATAAGAGCTGCAATCTTATATAGCACATTTTATATTAAATTTGCTGATAAAATTACAAACGTAAATTGTCTTTGATTGAGGTGCTGACAAGAAATCTTTGCCAAATATGGAAAAAAAATCAATCAATGTGACCCGGATTTATTCGTAAGTGGTGGTCTCTTCTTATATACATACATTCTAAAAATTTCTGGATCGTTTCCTAACACACTCATTGGGTAGCTTCAGATTTTCAGTAGATTGGGTTACTTTAACCAAGGTTGGGTTCATTATTTTGACCTAGTAGATTGGGTTCAAGATTAGATTTGGGCATGCTGAAGAGCTGAAAGTGGTCGCTATTTGTGTATTCAAGTTGAAGTATATTGAATGTAACGTTCTTCGAAAAGTGGCTGGATGTAACACCGTTTCCTTTCGACACATGGGATTCAAATCCCGGTGAAGGCGAACCGTGAATAGGAAAATGGTTAGGTTGCATGAGGGGGGATATCCAGTGTGAAATCAGCATTTTGTTTCTTTTACCACAGCTCTACCGATAACCTGGTGCCCCATTTAGTATTTTTAACTCACTCATCAGTATGTGTCGTTTTTACAGCTCGTTGGATGAAAGTACTGAAACTTTGGGACCCGCAGCTGGGTTAGCAATGTCACACAATTTAGGTTAATTCTGACGCAGCAGTTTGAAGCGTGTACCATGTGTGACTTCATTGACAATGAGGGACTTTTGCAATCATGAATGAAGTGAATGGCTAGAATCGATAGATGCACTGGGTTACTATGGGAATGTTATTTCGATACATGCTGCACAAGTAGGTACACGGCAAATGAAAGTGTTTTCTTTTGCCTTGTCTGATTATCTTCTAATAAAACAACATTTTGCACATCTAATGACTGTGCAGAGTGTTGTATAATGCTGCTGAAAACAGACAAGTTGCTGGCAGGCTTTTTTTGGATTCATTACAACGAACGCCACCGACCTCACGCCGTGTGTTGACTTCAACAGCAGACGGCTCATTGCGAGGCATATTTACAATTAAATCAAGTCTATTTATCTATATTGGCATAATTTGACATTTATGGTCCCGTTAAGCCCTAAGGACCATCTCACTCTCCCGCATTAGCGTACGACATGCATC